ATCTACCTTACCAACTTACCCACCCAGAGCCAAACCCCTCCTCTCCTCCCTTAATATTCTTCAATGGCTATGGCTATACAAAATATATCACACTCAAATATTAGACAAAACATTTGAGTGACTTTGTCTGACTTTGTCTAATATTTGAGTGACAAACTTGAATCCTAATGTCAACATATAATAATAATAAGTGAGATGAGGTTATTGCAACATTAAGATTTCTCCGAAAGATACCTCGGCATGTGAGAAATGGCCGAAGCTGGACTCCAGCGTGGGGATTACGAGTGGAATTCCGGGGTAAGGTTAAAATCGAAGCTCCTGGTGCTCCTCTCTTAGATGTACCATCCCATGTATTTCCATTTAAATCTCAACTCTCAATTCTCAAGAATCAATTCAAAGTCAAATCACTTTACATAATCATCAAAATGTCAGGTCCAGGAGCTGGTTTTGAATATCCCGCAGAGGAGGTTTCCTGGTTAACAAGAGATGTTCTCCTCTTTGCCAACAGCATTGGATGCACGAATGATGAGCTACACTTCTTATACGTATGTATGTTCTCAGTTCCGAATTAGAAATGGGATATCCTAATTCAATCACAGGAATTACATCCCAACTTTGCCGTCTTTCCAACTTATCCTGTTCTTCTTCGTAAGCTCCCTCTTCCTTTTGTTCCACGGATCCGCTAACGCCCCCCAAGCATTCAAACGTACAACCCAAGAAGTAATTGACTTCTATGCCGCTTCATCCGCAACCCCCATTCCTGGCGTGCCGAAATTCGACTATAGGCGTGTCCTTGATGGTGGACGTTCAATGACTTTCCTCAAACCACTCCCTCCTACCTCCGCGGGCAAAACCTTCGAACTCCGCTCGAAGGTTATCGGTGTGTATGATAAAGGGAAATCGGGAACCGTTGTAGAAACACAACAGGAGATTGTAGATAAGAAGAGTGGAGATGTTTATACCAGGGCTGTTGGGAGTGCATTTTTTGTTGGTCAGGGTAATTGGAATGGACCCAAGGGTCCAGCGACACAGAATTTCCCTCCTCCCGAGGGAAAGAAACCGGATGCGGTCATGGAACATCAGACGACGAAGGAGAGTGCATTGCTGTATAGGTATGGTTTTATTTTACAGCGAGATGCTTGGGCGGGACCTTGGGCTAATGAATTTCAAATTCCAGACTGAACGGTGATTACAATCCCCTACACGCAACGCCCGAGCCGGGTCAGAAGATGGGATTCGGAGGACCGATCATGCATGGACTGTCATCTTGGAATTTCACCGCACATGCCCTCCTCAAAGCTATTGGTGGCAGTGACCCTAAAAATATCAAAGAATTTTCATGTCGATTCGCATCACCCGTTAAGCCAGGTGATAAATTAATCATCGAAATCTGGAGAACAGGAGAAATCAAAGAAGGATGGGAAGAGATTCGCTTCATCACGAGAGTAGATGGTGGGAAGGTTTGTTTGAGTAATGGAAGAGCTTTGATGAAGGCTGTAAGTACCAGTACAAGTGGTGGAGATGGAAAGCTGCTAGATCAGGGTATGGCCAGTATCAAGACTAACTCTGGTTCAAAGACTAGTAGCGTTGCGAATTCTCCTGGATCTTCGGCTAGAGAGGAGAGTAAGGCTCAGAAGAGCAAGTTGTAGTGCATATTTTAGCGTTTAGGTTAGGATGGGATCATGGGAGTATAAATGAAGGAATATAAGTCATCTTGGTTAGCATTAAAATCCCATAAGCACTCTACAGAGTAGAATATAGGACCGTTGGACATTGAAAATCACGTCTCTAGTAATCTACCTGCCTTGGTAGATTGAAACAACAAAGAGACCCTACTACCGTATTGAACAGTATTTTGGCAGTATTTGAACAGTGGTCAAGTCTGAATGGCATTCAAAAAGACACTACTACCGTATCGAACAGCATTTTGGCAGTATTTGAACAATGGTCAAGTCTGAATGGCCTTTGAATACTGTATTATTTGGACACTATTTAGCTAGTGTTTGAATAGTATATGAACAGTATACACGGTAGGTCTATAAAATTGACGAGATTGCAGGTCAAATAAAAAGATTCTATTCTCCACAAACAACATCTTCAAGTTTAATATCCGGATAACACGAATAATAACACTTTAAGAAAACCTTTCCAATTCACACAAACTAAACTTAACCAAACAAGTCGCAAACATGTCGCGTGGATTATACTGGGAAAAAAGCGAAGAGGTCTTCTTCATCGAAATAGTCAGAAATCTTAGACCCGATACGGGCTTCAACACTCACGACGGGCAAGCCGTCTTGGAAGCCATGGTGACCGAGCAGGCCCGCCACCTCCCCGGTGGCGACCTCCACTCGACCGATCCCTGGCCCGCTCGCGTCTTTAACCTCAAAATGCTCTATCAGAAATGGACGCGCGTGGTGCGCGCGCTCGCATCACCATCCAAAAACACAGGCATCACCCACTGGGCCAAAACCGAAGAGGCCTTCTTCGCCGAAACGGTGCAGCGTTTTAAGCCTCGCACAAACTTCAACTCTCCCGATTGGGAACCCGTCTTGGAAGCCATGGTGGCCGAGCAGGCCCGCCACCTCGTCGGTGGCGAGCTCCACTCGGTTGATCCTTGGCCCGCTCGCGCCTTCTCCCTCCAGACGTGCCATCATAAGTGGGCGCGGATGGAGCAGCGTGAAAAACAACGACTCTACCGTGAAATGGGTGCTCTTGAAGTTTCGTTCGATGGCGTTCCGTTCGATGGTGCTCCGTTCGATGGTGCTCTGTTCGATGGTGTTCCCTTCGATGGTGTTCCCTTCGATTACGACCCTGAACTCGCCGACATGTTCGATGGTGTCCCCTTCGATTACGACCCTGAATTCGCCGACATGTTCGATGGTGTTCCGTTCGATTACGACCCTGAACTCGCCGACATGTTCGACGGTGTTCCGTTCGATGACGTCCCCGAACTCCCGGGCGAGTTCGTGAGAGCCGCCGAGGAGGAATTGGCCAGAGAGGAGGAAAATCAACGCATTCTTGCGAATGCTCCGTCCTTCGAGGATGTCCCGGAATTCTCCGAGGAGTTCGTCAGGTCTGTTGAGGAGGAATTGGAACGCATGAGGGCGGCGCAAGCTCAAGCTGATCAGGCTTGATCTGCAGCGCAGCAAAGTGAAGAAACCCCACCCCTTCTTGCATCAATCTTTGTCGACGCTTTTCTTGATCACAAGAAAGTAAGTAGGAAAATCACCTTTAAGGCAGGTCTCTCAACAGGTAAGTTTATCTTTAGATCAAAAATTGTAGGTCCAGCAAGATTCTGTTCTGAACAACTAACAAATTGATACCGAAAAATTTCCCTTTAATAAAATTTATTTAACCCCAAAAATCTTTTTCATAATTTAGATTCTCATTGTGAGTGATATTTCTTCATACCCCTGAAATCTTCCTTTCTAATGCTTTGTTAATGGAACATAGACGAAGACGATCATAGAACGATGTCAATGACTTGTAGCAATCAAGAATTAATCGAATAATCCTCTGACTGACCTAAAAAATAATATACCGTTCGTTACCTTTGAGAAGAAAGAAACCGTTGTGAATATGTGCAAAATATGTGTAAATAGATGTTCTGGAATTGTCAAACCAAATGGTTTTGATATCCTAAGAGTCCTAATTAAAAAGTAGCTGTTCAACATTTAGGAAGTTCCAAAAAATGGAACAAATGACAGGTCCCCCTTTAGATCCTGCCCAACATAACATAATCACACTAGCAATATGTATGCTTTCTCGTCTAATTCAAATTCGTTTATTTGCTGTTTCCCCTCAGCTCATGTTTCGTATTCTCAATGATAGCTGCGTGCGTGTGAGCTTCCTCCTTACCATAAGCCTTAGATAGCTGGCCTAGTACCTAAATAGGCATATCATCAGTACCTTGAAGCTTGAGATACCTTTCCTTTTTATGAATTTCCAGCGTATAATATCGCTGATATCGTATGTCATTCCTCCTCCCTTATACTTTTATGATTTCCCAGTGTGCATCTCGATCATCGATTTTGAGCTGCAGAAAGTTTGCTTTCAAGGTGTTGAGCCCTAGGGCTTCCATTGAGTTATGGCATTTATCCAATTGGATGCACATATCTGGGATATGCAATGTACCTAAGGTGTTAATGACCCAAGCCGTTTTGAGCAAACCCGACGAAATGTTCCGTGGTCCAGGAGAGATACTTATTGTGGACTTCTTTCCGCATCGTGTCAAATTCATGCTTCGTCTTTGAATTGAGGTTGAGGTTTCGTTTCGTATCGTATCGTATCAAGTGGCTACTTACCTTACTTTTACGTAAGATCTTACTTTGGATTCCCATTCATCTCCAACTTAGGTACGTGGGTGCCCGAAAGAGGTTTCTCTCTCATTGATGAAGGTATTCTTTGGTAAATAGTAAACGAGCGATTCGAGAGACGAGACTTACCAAAATAGGTAGAGTCATTTCTGATTTGCAATACCTGACTTGATTTTGAGAAGTCTGCGATGGAGGTTTTTCCGGTGGATGATTGACAAGGCACCCACCCGATGGACGAAATAAATCGCACACCAAAGCATATAATATGCATCCAATCTTCAAAGATCAATTTGATTGTCAAATTTGAATTGGGTCGTTAAAAAGTGCCCCAAGACTTTCAAGTCTCGGACATCTTTTGATTGTCAATTCTGAGTTGGTATGTTGAAAAGTGCTGGTTGTAGGAGAATAGCATATTCGAATTTTGGTGTGCGGTTTATTTCGTCCATTGACCTGAACCACCCCCAGCACACAAAAATCGGAAACCTTCGGTCGTCCAGCCCTCATTGGAGATCTCTTCCCGCATAATCCCATGGGTGTTCTCTATAAGGGTACTCATATAAATCCATTACATGACTTTGTAAACAATGAACCTCGCAGGCACACAACCGCCCTTCTCAACCCCCCTCAACAATTGGGGGGTTTAAAAAAGCCAAAAAAAATTGGACCCGACGAGTCTCATCACGACCGACGTAAGACTCGAACTTACAGCCTTTACCAGACGACGTCAAAACACCGGAAAGTAATGCGCTAACCATTGCGCCAGCCGGCCTTTATAACTAATCAGAAGGCGTCGGATTGTAAATATATAAAGGTCAATGAGATGATGGGCGGCTTTTCGCACCGTAGAGACTCAAAACCACAACTTGAAGCTATAAATAGCTAACTCGCGCCACAAGATATGCAAAATAATCAGAGAAGGATTTAGATATACGGATATAGCTTCTGTTAACGGTCAATATAGCTAGAAATCAAATTTTGCTTTTTGAAAAAAAGAATTGGGTGGACCCACTAAAATGCTTAGAGCCGAGCTTGGGCCACTTCTACCTCGCTACGCTTCGACGGTGGGACTGTGCATCTACGGAGCGAACATTCAACATCTGTTCTGGCAGACTGTTACAAAGTTTAAGGAGTCAGACAATTATCATTTACAAAATAAAAATATCTATGACTTCCCATCGTCTTAACTGCCACAGTTTGAAAGATCAAAATTATATATCTCAACCACATCCAATATCCACAAGTGACAACCCCTCCACCAACCAACCAGTATCAATCAGTCAGGCAATCCACTCCATCCATCCACTCTCCCACTTTCATAATCCACAATCAAAACAAAATAATCTCAAGGTTCCAATCCGTCTGCACAGTACACTCACGCCTCACACAGCATCATCATCAAACAACCCCCAAACAAAAAAAAAGACTCACGACGTCGGCATGATTCGAACATGCGCCCCCGAAAGGAATTGATATCTAATTTTCTTAACACCCCTCCTTTTCTCAAAGAGAGAAGAGTTTTAATTCGAGTCAATCACGTTAACCACTCCGTCACGACGCCTATTTGATGACTAATATAACTTATTCTCCGTTCGTGTTGGGATTATATACCGCTACCTACTGAGGTACTTAGGAAGGTCGGTAGATACAAATGAAAACGAAACGCCCTTTTTCAACATTCAACATTTGGAAGATTATAATTGAATTTAAATCCACCTTTCAATTTTTGGTTTTTATTTCAATTAACTACATCAATTAACTACCTACATTACTTTCATTGTTTGGTCTATCAATATTAAATGATCAGGCTTTTTCCCCAATACCATACATAGAGCAAGCAAATCGAGGATAACCAGTACACTTCCAGTCCAATGGCCCCCAACCCTCGAACTGGCTACAGTATTGAATTTTTCAAATTTCCAAACTCCAATGCATTTTATTTCATTTCGTTTCATTAGCAAGAAGCCCTGGAAATCCAGCACCCAATAATTATTTATCTCATGAAGTAATGATATTGTCTGCATATGCCGAGACCTCGTAGTCGGGGTATATACATATATATATATATATGCGTCGCCGATGTACCAGCAGTACCACTGTTCAGGAATCAAATCAGGAGAGAGGTGGAGATAGATAGATGAGTAAGGTTAAACCTCCCACGGGGAATAGTATTCTCTGTAGAGATGAAGCGATCGATGAGGGGAACGATCAGCTCGCTAAAAACAAATTGTTAGATTGTGGGTTGGGAGGAGAAGAGGAGAAATCAGAGGATCTATTTAGATTCGATTCCAATAGTCTGGAGTATACTCCAGCTGTAGTTTCAATAAAAATAAAAGCTTTATTTAATTAATCCTTAAATCATATTAATTTTTAATGAATGTATGTATGTGTTGTTAGTAAGCATAATGAAATCCATGTATTACATCTATAGATTTCACCGGGAATATTGTGAAGAATCTTAATATATAAAATCAATCCGTAGTTCTACACATATAAAAAACTTCTCATTCTTGGATTCATGAGTTACAATCCGGAGGATCAAAAACCTGAGACTGGGAGAAGTAAAGAGGAAACGTACACTCCGCTCTACTTGTAAGATATATCCAAACCAAATAATACAAGCAAACAAGCAGATGGGAAAACAAAGATCTCCCTCGTATAATAAATCACAGCTAATTTCAATCTCTCTCTTTTCTCCTCTGGTAAAATACTACACCGCCCCCCTTTCCCCCGCCGGCCATCATTGAACATTATTCGACAATGAATGTCGCATACACACATACTCGCTACAGGGGAAAAACATATCTACATACATAACCACATACACGACACGACAGATCCGATTCCTATTTTACGAAATCCGGCTGGCTAAATCTTCATTTCATGACAATGAATGACATGACCCGGTTCGAAGTGGTAGATGGACAGTAGATTCTACTGGATGAAGATAAAGATCGTGATGATTCAATTTTCAATATCTAGATAAAGAGATAGAGAGATAGATAGGTAGGTAGGTAGGTAGGTAGATACCTAAGAGATATAGAGAAAGAAGATTGTAGATTAGATTAGATAAATATGATGGAGGTAAGTAGAGATGAAGAGATGAAGGGCGAGAAGACGCAATATTGCACAATGTATTTATTCCGCGAAGGCTAGTGAGAAGAGATGAATAAACATCTCGCCAATCTTTTCTTTTCTTTTCTCGTCTTGTTTTGTCTTGTCAAATCAAGTCATTCATGTCCTCCTTCCCCTTTGTGACTTTATCAAAATCTCTTCTTCGGATCCCCAACGAACCTAACCTAACCGGATTGCGTACCGGATTGCGTGCTTGCTAACGATTGCAAGATCGGGAAGTGGGTTGGTGATTAGGTAGTACTTGCCTACCCACACAGAAGAGAAAAGTTAAGTAAAGTAAAGTGAAGTAACGAAGATCCATCATCATCTTTTGTATCCGATATCCAATATCAATAATTGCAGTTTAGTTTCGGGGATTCGTTCTACCATTTTATAGGTATCATGTCATGAATCATCCATTCATCCGTCTGTCAGCATCATAAAATCATCTGGATATTGATTCGGAAAGAAAGGCTCCAGCCCCAAGAACATGCACATGCACATGCCATACCATACCATATCGACCTCTATATCAAGTTTCAGTAACTCCAGCTCCAGCTTCAGGACTTGACTTGACTTTAATGCCAATCAACAATCAACAAACAACAAATAACAAAACCTGAACACCCAGAATACATCTCCATCTCCATCTCCAGCAATCAAATTGTAAGATTATAAGAATGTAAAACCGTACCTAGGTATCCACAGAGAAAATCCTCACTTGAATCCACATCACACCGCCACTAGATCCCAACTTTGATCCTCAGTCGATGGATGGTCTGCCAATCTGCCAACCTGCCATCTTCACTCTCCACTTTCATCCGAACCAAACCAAACCTTCCCGATCCCACAGTTCACAGCCAGGAGTCCAAAATCCCATCCCCATCCCATCACCATCCCCGGGGTCTCAAGCCAAGGTAATGACAATCATAATCACCTTCCTAATCCACCTCCCTAGGACACGCACCATCCTCAAAATCCATCCATCTTGTCCAAACCACTTCACCTCATCAAACCAAGTATTCTTTCCTTCCTCCCATTCCTCCCATCTTCCCATTCCGTCTAATTCTCATCCCCAACAAGAAGCACCACAAAAACCGGTGACACAGATTCCCGCGCTTTCCTCTCTCTCCCCTTTTCCTTGTATGCGCTAAGGATAGATAGATAGATGGGTTATCTACCTACCTACCTACCCACCTATCTACCTATCTACCTATCTTACCTTACCTAGTACTTAATACCTGTATATCCCCCGACTCTCGACTCTCGACTCTCGACTCCCGACTCCCGACTCTCGACTCTCGACTCTGGCCCATTCATTCATTCATTCATCGATATAAATCCATCTAGAACAAAGAAACAAGCACTATCTATCTACCTACCTACCTACCTACCTAGGTACCTACGTACGTACGTGGTATCTAGAATACATCCATCCATCCATCCATCCATCCATCCATCCATCCCCCCCCTTCTCCCTCCCTCACCCATACCCAACACCCAAGAACCCGTCATCCTAACATCCAATTTCTCGAAATTTATATATCAACAATAACAATAACCATTACCATCACATTGCATCACCATCACATCGCATCGCCATCACCATCCCCCCAAAAAATCGCATACAAAATTATCCATTCAAATGTGATTCCATTCCGCTAATACATAGTAATATAAGAGTAGATGTGCCATTCTCCATGCAATAATACCATACCATACATGACAACTCGAGAACGAATTATTCCTCCCGTCTTGAGAAATATGTACTGGTGAATAAGGTAGGTAAGTAAAGTAAAGCCGCTTCGCTTCGGCTCCAATGAACCTCCCATCCCATCCCAATCCCCATCCCCATCCCCATCCCATTCAACCAGCAATGATAATACAAGTTGGTTCCAAAGACCCAAAGGAAGCCCATTGAACGCCAGCCCATCAGTACCATTCATTCGACGGATTGACTCTTGCCTTCCTGCCAAAAGACGACGCCTAACAATGCTTTCTTCCAATTTCTTCCAAGTCCAACCAAGCCAAAGCCGATGCCATTATCCTCCCCGCCCCCCTCCCTTTTCCCAAGCCAAACCAGCTTTTCCCACCAGATCCCCTCCTCACGAATCCTTCATTTTGACATCCAAAATCTTCTTTCCTCCCAAATCCTTCACCTTCTCAACCAATGTATTCTTGGCATCCAACTCCCCCACATCATCACCCCCTCCAATACTCACCCCATTAATCAACACATTCGGCACCGTTCTCCTACCCGTAAGCTCCGCCAATCGCGCTTGTAATTTTGCTCCGATTGGATGTTGATCGAGTTCGACGACATAGGGGGGGGGATTGATGGTATATTTTTCGAGGAGGATGGTTTTGGCGCGCTTGGAGTGTGGGCAGTAGGATTTAGAGAAGATGATTACTGCGAGATATGTGAGTTGATTTCGTTCCAAGGCAGGACGGAGAGGGGATGTGGAAATGGGATACATACTCGGCGATTTCTTCAAAATAGCATTCAACTCCGTCTTCACCTCTGAATTTTCCTTCGTCTCCTCAGTCTCCTTCTCCTTGACCACCTCCTGCGACCCCTTCTCCCCACCAATCTTCTTCCTCCCCGCTACACTCCTCTCGCCACTCTGTCCCTCCGCCGCGTTTCCTTTTCCCACAACCTGACTTGGCGGGTCTGGTTTGAATGCTTTCGCATTCGCATTATCCTTCGCCTTATCAGCGGCATCTTTTAATCTCTGTGCCATCTCCTTTGCCACCTTTTCATCCTCCTCACTTCTTCCATGACCTGCTTCAGCCACCTCTTGCTTTCCTAATCCATTCATAGTCTTGGAATAGAAATCTCCTCCGGCTACTACAACATTTCGTTGTTGACGAAGCGATGACGTGTAGAAGAGTAAGGAGATGACGGCGATGAAGACGATGAGTCCGAAGAGTTTTATGCGGCGCATCGATGCCATTCTGGGCGTCTTCTTTTCCTTGTAATAAGGCGTATCTATTGGTTTGCGAGATCAATCATTAGTCGCTGTTGATAATCTGCTTGTAGAACTCGGAAATGCGAAGAGCTCCTACTTACTAGCTTCGTAATACTTTCCCATCTCAACTGCAACTGAAATGCAAGCTTTTAATTCGCGCGATAGCGGTAGGTACGTGAGAGGTTTCTTTCTTTCTTTTCCCCTTTCTTCTTGTTTCCTCCCCCAAGAGCACCGCAGAATCTGAGAGGTTTCGAAAAGGTGGTGGTGTATGTAGGTAGGTAGGTATGGATGTAATCCGAAGTTATTATTTTTCGGTCCTCAAGATTGTATTGAATATGTATCCGACACAACTCACACACCAAGGTTCGTTTCCACAAATATTATCTGTCGTTTGGATCGATCCAGTATTTCCCGTTTCACACTTTGCTCCCTTCCTAGACCTTCCAGGTTTGGTTTGGCGATATGTATTATTAGGTCG